TAATGTCCCACTTGATTTTGCTGTATTCGCCCCAGCGAAAAGAGATCTGAGAGGAATATCACACCAGAATCTCAATCAACTGATGTCTGCAGTGAAAACCTTCCTAGCCACACGCTTCAAGGGTGGCTTCAAAAATGTGCACCACGAGTGGGTCCACAGACAGCAACTGTGCATTGACGCTGAGGGTGCCTCTTTTGAGCACCTCATGAAGTGAAAATGGATCATGAAGTGACTCTGGAATGGATTATTTATAATTGCATTGAATATCCCAAGAGTATTACATGATACTGATTTCAATATTCAAAATGTTGTCCAAAGTGACGTCAGAACTTTGCCCCGCATATCCATGACACTGGTTACCTTAGTAACCATAACTTTACTAATACTAATTCAATTGACTTGAAATTTTTATTGGTCAAAGTCAGGTATATGTACCTTGTGTTGTGAAAGTTCCATGAAGAAAAAGCAAACAGAACAAAAGTTATAGCAAAATTAGCAATACTTATTGAACGCCCTGTACAACTCCTGGATAGCGTATACAACTCCTGGGCAGCGTATACAACTCTTCGACTCGATATACAACTGCTGAATTTAGATCAACCTTTTGTTGATTAAAGATAAGGGTGGGATAATAAGATCATATTCACCTTTCCACAAAGTCAGCTCATGAATATTATAATGAGCTGCTTAAAAATCTGTGACGTCAATGAATGAAACTTTTTCCCGCGAAAAACAAATGCAATTGAGTTAACATGTAAATCCTCGGTTGATTGCTGTAAGTTTTACCTCTTCAAATGTGCAAGTAATCAGTAAATGATTGACAGATTTTTATTGAACGTCAAATTGACATTTATTTACGCCTTCTAAGCGATTTAAATATTAAATTTCTGTTCATAATGAGTAAATAATTTGAAGAGAATTACTCCCGGTCAGTTTTCAATCATGATAGGAACTGGATGTGAACAGGTGAACTTATCATAATCATTAGTTCACCAACATTATAACATGTCTCTCATGCATAAAAATATATAGATAGACAATCTATTTTAAGTTAATCTTCAGTGTCATTTGATGAATGACCTGTTCAAATTAAAAACATTTGCTCTTATTCATTAAATCATTGACTTCACTACTTCCATAATTCAATCAACTAAACGATTACTTCCTATTTATTTCTGCAAGTCATATCAGATCGTACCTTGAAAATATTATACTTGAAAACATTGGGATATAGAATTGATATCTTAGAGGAGCGTGACATGTATAGAGATTATCCTACATGAGGTTCAGGATATTGGGATTATCCCGAGGCAATTATAATATATCTGCCCGAGGGCCGAAGGTCCCGAGGGAAAATATATTATATTGGCCAAGGGATAATCCCAATATCCTGAACCGACTATAGGATAGTATGTTTATCTCATACCAATATTGGTCATCTGGTTCACATTGTTCAATCGTGGAAATATTTTAGAATATTCATGTCCAGTTTTGTTTTCTTGGCCGTGGGCGGATTTTCCTGTTCTCTCAAATATTCCGAATATACGTCCAATATACGTCCAAGTATGTATATATATTCCAATGTATATTTCCCGTTGCGTATCTCCCGATCCAAATATCCCCGGGAAAATGTTTTTTATTCAGTGTAGAAACAGTCAATTTGTTAAAATATCTTGCTAAAGCAAAACTGTCAAATAGATCCAGCAGACCGTAGAATTTTTCTTAACCAAAATGATGATGGATTTCTCGAAAATAATGAGAATGAGAACGCTTAATAGAAATCAAACATGGATATGATATGGGTGTCCTGATTTCACTTGTCATTGGATAAATTAGTTATGTGATGATCGGTTTTGAATAATGATCACTGGGAAGATTTCAGAGAAAGAGCGTATATCATATAATGTTTATTGATGATATGTTGACATTGCTGATCATTATTGACATCGCTGATGGCGAATAAATACCAAAAGGTAACGCTTTGCGCGAATGTCACTCATGGTGAATTTCTGATGGAACTTCTTACTACGACATAATAATCATTTAACAGGATAGTGTATGACCACTATCAGATAATTTAGCCGATGTTTGTAACTTCACAATTTACATTTTTTGTTTACAATCGCACGAGACACGTGAGCCCGGGTATGTGAGGCTGATCTGAGAAGTCTTAATAAACAATAGTTCTGTCAAAAAATGATTAAATTAAATTACATAAGATTTGGAAAGAAAGTGCCCCTTCAATATTTCATATTTGCTTAAAAATAAGTAGTACGTTGGGCAAATAGAATCCTTTTTATAGCAGTTAATTCAAAATATTCCTATGCTGGCTGTACTAATTCTTCAAAACTTTCCATCATTGACGTCATTGATTTGACTCATTTGCATACAACCAATCAGCGCGCCGGAAATTATCGATTTTCTTTACTTTGTGGAAAGGTGAATAATGGTTGATTTTTGTATATCGCTATACTCTCGTGAGTATATGATATATTCACTCGTTCCCTTCGGTCACTCGTGAATATACCATATACTCACTTGAGTATAAACACGATATACAGAATCAACCATTATATAACCTCATAATAAACAATATACAATTGTAGACCTCTCTTGAGGTCAACTGGCAAAATTGTATACCGAAACTGTAATCATTGAAAGTTCGGAGGTCGAGGTCAACAGTACTCTCAGGGTTTACTGTTGATGTATACACTTTGGCCAGTTGACCGAATAGAGAGGTTAACAATTGTTTGTTAGTTTGAAGGATATAATATACAATTGTAGACCTCTCTTAAGGTCAACTGGCAAAATTGTATACCGATACTGTAAACCTTGAAAGTACTGTTGATCAAGACCAGAGGTCGAGGACACTTTTGCCAGTTGACCGAAAAGAGAGGATCACAATTGTTCTGTTAGTCCAAATAATATAATAATTGGACAAATATATTATCGAATATCACGTGAACATATTTGTTAAGTAAAGGTATCATATTTTAGCAAAAAATCCCCAAACCGTCGAATACTTGTAATTTTTTACACAACTTATTTTTTCAAAATTAAAAAAAATTTCAACATTAAAAATACAATTTTTCGAAAATAGTGGTCAACAGTACCTAGTAGTGGTCAACAGTTTACAATTGTTGACCTCCCCAGAGGTCAACCGGCACAATTGTATACCGAGAATGTAAACCGAAAAACTACTGTTGACAGAGACCGAAGGTCGAGGTCAACAGTAATTTCAAGGTTTACAGCCGAGGTATATGATTTTGACGGTTGATCGAATGGAGAGGTCTACAATTGTTTTGTTAGTCCGAGTAAACTAATAATACACATTTAGACGACAATCAGCAATCGGCATGGCTTCATTTCACAACCTTTTCTCCGAACCACGTTAGCAATATTTTTTAGAAAATCTGGAGACAGTGCAAGTTGCTTAACTCTGTATTTGGCACATCACAGCGTACTCGTTAGTGAATTAATGTTAATTTTAAGTTTCTATTTGTATTTCTGCTATACTTGTCGCCTAGTAAAGTCATTTTCATCAACGTTTACAAAATGTCCGTATTCCATGTTTTTTTGTGAAGTCATGAAACTTTTTTTCAGAAGTAGCGGTCAACAGTACCTAGTAGCGGTCAACAGTACATAATTTTGACCGCTAATCACCCAATCAGAATCGAGTATTTCAGTTGAGGTACTAACAATACATTTTGTTGACCGCTCATCAACCAATCAGAATTTAATATTTCAATTGAGGTACTAACAACACAAAATGACTGATATCTGCTGTCTTTCCAAAATTATATTAGTTATTTGTAAGCAATTTCCATACGGTAAATCAAGGGCATTTAATTTAGAAAATGTATAATCTTTATTTTTCAGATACAATATCAATGAGATTGCCTCCCGGGGATTCTGTACTTTATTTAGGTTGCCTTGTATATCCTTTTAACTTTGATATAGACAAAGAAACCAAACAATATACGTTTCGTTCATGGACCACTGACTCACGCGTTTTATTCATGTCCAGGTGTAAAAGGGTAGGAGGTCCTATCAAATTATGGTCCTACTCTCCATTGATTTATATGATGACCTAAATACAACTCTTTCCCTCATTATCTTATACGCAATCAGGGCCAGTAAGGGCCGTTAAGAAAGGGGGCCATAATCCCTGGGGGACCATCATTTCTTTCACACCGGCCTACACCTGTAAACAGAACATAAAACAGTTTATCTTGTTGTTCAAAGATACATTATATTGGCGTTTTTGCATCAGCACATTGGTGTTGTTGCATCATCGATAAGAAACAGAGTGGTGTTGTTGCATCAATAGTGAGGAATTAAAACCACGAATTTATCGCTTCTTGATGATGCTATATGTATAACAATGACAGTTTTTTAAAATATAGATCATGCGCTAACTGCATGTGTATGATTATTGTCGTCCTAGAAATGGGTGTAAATTGGGAAAACAAAACATCGTACGAAAATCTACCACCGGAAGTCTGGCCATCTTGATGCAACAACACGGTGTTGTTGCATCACGATACCCCCCAGTGATAAGTGTTCCGTACGCCAGAATCATAATTTGCCCGAACACATTGATGATTGATCGAACCGCTGAACCAACAATGTAATGACGACAGTCCCACGTATACAATAACCACAAACAGGAAACTTTTAATACAAATATATGCAATCCCATTGTATCACGCGGTACTAACTTCGACCGTTAATTTGAATTTTTGACCTACCAGATGCTTGAAAATCAAAGATTGCGAGTCTCAAACTGCACCGTTTTTCTTCAAACTTATACCATTAAAAGCAAAACAAAATTGCCTTTCTGTCGGTGCATTACTTTATTGAAAAGAGTCCCTCGTTCAAGCAGCGTTTTGGTCCCCAGCTGTTAGAAGGCCTTCCTACAGCTGGGGACCAAAATGCCGCTGGAAGTAGGGACTCTGTTTAGGAGAATAATGTACCAACAGAAAGGAATTTTTGTTATGCTTTGAATGCAACGATTTTGAAGAAAAACGGTGCAGTATGAGACTCGTAATCCTTGATTTTCAAACATCCGGTAGGTCAAAAATTCAAATTAACGGTCAAAGTTAGTACCGCGTGTGTATAGGCGTATGTACATTAACACTAACATTTTGAACATTGAATGAGCGACACTACATTTGCTGAAGGATTTCATCTTGAACAGGAATGATGTCACGGTAAGTATGTTTAAACTGACTTTCAAATACTTCAGAGACTGATTTGGGATTTCAAGGAATACTTTTCAAGAAAATAGTCTTACCTTTCTACAAGAATGGGTTCAGGTGCCAAAAATAACTGATCCATGGATACATATCATTTTGAAAATTGGAAGCAAGAAATATTTTTTCGAGGCCATGTTTTTTACGAGTCATAACAGGAAATAGATTATCTAAATGAAAACTGGATTTACATTATTAATCCAGATTTTGGCTTAGAATATTTACTTAAATATTATTTCAATATTATTAAAATGATTATTGATCTTATGCAGTGATTCGTCGACTGTTTTCTAAAATGTATTAAATAGCTTGAAAAGCACATTCACATATTGTCTTAATGTCCCTGTGGCCTAATGGATAATGGCTCTTGAATTCTACACCAGCTTTTGGCAATTTAAATCCAACTTTCGGTGGTCCGAATCCCGGTCACGCCCAAGTTTTTTTCTTTTTTATTTATCTCTCGGCCACAATCTTTTTAAATCTCTTTTTATACAACATATACTCATATATACAAAACCATTGAATGACAAAATACAATACTCCATGTCATTGTCTGATAACTCAAATGCCCCGTGAAGATTCAAATTATACATTTCGATCAAAGCATGTCGCAAAACAATTATGTTCTCAACGTCATGAGAAAAATTGAGTAAATATTATACTAATAAAATGTCGGTTTATGTGCAGGTCTAAACATCTAACATTTTGTGATGTTACAAAATAACACTGTGATATGGTTAAAGGTGCATCATTTCAGAAACAAATCCCTAAATTGTTTCTACGGGAATTCTTTCTAAATACATTCAATAGCCATAACATACAAGTATTGCTTGACAAGGTTTTCCAAGAAATTTCCGTGAAAGCGTTTTAAATGGAATCAAAAGGAAATACAATCTTAAATGTATTTATCTAGGGAGTAATATTCTTGTCATATTTTGTTGTGATCTCATTCTTTGTTTATTGGTATAATGTAATAATGGTCCCCAAAATAACTATTTTCAAAAATATATGACAAATTCAACATTTTCAAATTTATAATTAAAACAAAGTTCACATATCATACATATGGGAAGACAACAATATTATCAAAAATGGTTTGAATTAAATCGTTCTTTGAGTAATACGTTGAAGTATCTATTTTTGTTTTGATGAGGCCATGTGTTGCTTGCAGTGCCTTGAACTGTGTTTCTTCTATGTTTCAGTTTAAATCAAATGATTGTAATGATGTTGCCTGTAGTGCCTTGAACTGTGTTTCTTCTATATTTCAGTTTAAATCAAATGATTGTAATGATGTTGCCTGCAGTTCCCTGAACTGTGTTTCTTCTATATTTCAGTTTAAACCAAATGATTGTAATGATGTTGCCTGCAGTTCCTTGAACTGTGTTTCTTCTATGTTTCAGTTTAAATCAAATGATTGTAATGATGTTGCCTGCAGTTCCCTGAACTGTGTTTCTTCTATATTTCAGTTTAAACCAAATGATTGTAATGATGTTGCCTGCAGTGCCTTGAACTGTGTTTCTTCTATGTTTCAGTTTAAATCAAATGATTGTAATGATGTTGCCTGCAGTTCCTTGAACTGTGTTTCTTCTATGTTTTAGTTTAAATCAAATGATTGTAATGATGTTGCCTGCAGTTCCCTGAACTGTGTTTCTTCTATATTTCAGTTTAAACCAAATGATTGTAATGATGTTGCCTGCAGTGCCTTGAACTGTGTTTCTTCTATATTTCAGTTTAAATCAAATGATTGTAATGATGTTGCCTGCAGTTCCCTGAACTGTGTTTCTTCTATATTTCAGTTTAAACCAAATGATTGTTATGATGTTGCCTGCAGTGCCTTGAACTGTGTTTCTTCTATATTTCAGTTTAAACCAAATGATTGTAATGATGTTGCCTGCAGTTCCCTGAACTGTGTTTCTTCTATATTTCAGTTTAAACCAAATGATTGTAATGATGTTGCCTGCAGTTCCCTGAACTGTGTATCTTCTATATTTCAGTTTAAATCAAATGATTGTAATGATGTTGCCTGCAGTTCCCTGAACTGTGTTTCTTCTATATTGCAGTTTAAACCAAATGATTGTAATGTCGATGTTGCCTGCATTTCCCTGAACTGTGTTTCTTCTATATTTCAGTTTAAATCAAATGATTGTTATGATGTTGCCTGCAGTTATGCTGATTGGCCATCAATCTTCCGCAGAAACAACAACTCCTGAAATACCTGACATGATAGACTTGCCACCGGGTTTTGGTGATTTGACTGATGTATCACGATTGGGTGGAAGTGATGACAAATATCCTGGTTGTATTGTTCCATTACGTTTTATTAAGAAGAAAAAAAAGCATGACTTTGATCTCACAAATGGATGCTGTGTTGTCTCCTTTGTAACAAGTCATGAGCGAAACCGAACAGACCTAGATTTCATTCAATCGATTGAATGCTTTTCAAATTGTGAAGATGCATATACGCCACTTGCCATTAATGAAACAAAAACTTGTGTTAAAGAAGAATTTGCAGATACTTTATGGGATGAATTAGGCCTTTATGGAAATTATCTTGGCGGTAGTCTCTTTTGTTCCCCAAGTGACAACAAATGTCTTTCGTTGAAAGTAGATACAGATATTTATTTTGAAAACTGTTGTTCATTTTCAAAGAAGTTGTTAGGATACAGCTGTAAGTCATATAAGAAGTGCAAAAAACAATCTCTAATTAAATAAGTTAAAATAATAAAATAAAATATACGAAGAAACAATTAAAAATTGAGAAAGGACGTATTGATATTGATGGAAATGCATATCATTGGATAATTAATATGGTCCAGCTCCTTCTTAACGGCCCTAACTGGCCCTGATTATGTATAATATAATAAGTGAAAGAGGTCACCATATAATGGAGAGTAGGACCATAAATTGATAGGACCTCCTACCCTTTTACACTGGTCTTGTCTTGAGAGGCAACCTTCGATGCATCGGGTGAAGACTTCTCGCTCACAGTTGTTGTTAATTGCTTTCTTTTTCCTTCTTATCTCTTGTTCCAACTCTATGATGCTTCTTGGAATGCTAGTGTATACATTACGTTTGAAATATTCCCAACTGTAAAATTCTGTTCGTTCATATTGGGTATGTTTTGCCATTTGGAGCTTGTTTTGTAAAATGACCATAGAATCGTGACTATTTGGAATAAACCAAAACTATAATTGTTGCTAATAATTCTATAAAGATAACTGATATATTTGAATTGATAAATAGTGTGTCTCATGAAGAAAGGCTGATTCATTATCGTAACCACAGTGTGTATATAGTCTAGATAACAATTTCATAATTGACAATACCACATATTCAGATCTGAGAGATACTAATTTCCAATGAAATATATTTACTGTAAACAGTAATAAATGAATTATCAATAAATATGATGTTTATTTGTACACCTTTAGGGATGGTGTCAAGATTCTGACAGTTGTGGAAAAACAAATTTCATTTTTAGTGCTGTTTTACCCCCCCCCCCCCCCCTAACAAAACATACACCATACCATATGACATAAAAAAAGCAAAATTTGAATACACCGATTTGCCATTTACTTTGAAATCAAAATTTGTAACTAAATTTATTAAGATGTTGTTTATCGATAACTGTTGATAATTTGACACGACCCCTCAGATGTGATAATAATTGTTAATGGTTTTGTGGTGAAGCCATAAGTAAATGAGAGTGAGGTTGTTCAGTGCTATCACGTTTTATAAAACACAATCAAATGAAAAAGAGAGGGATAGGTAATAGTTCCAATTGACCCTGCCACCTTTTGCTCAATCCAATAAACTAGGAAGTATCACCTAAGTTGATAATTTTCGAGATTAGTAATGCTTTTAATTACAGCTTAAAGCTTAAATGCTGCTATGATAACTATTACAACACGCAACATATTATTCTTAACATAACATTTTCAATGAATGTTTTATTCAGTCATCTCACCATTTGTTTGCCCATTTGTGCCTTCAGCTCTGCTATTACATTCTCGAGTAGTTTGACAATATCCTTATAATCATGCTCCATGTTCCTGGCTGCTCTCTGCGCCTGGTCTGCCAGGTGCACATTGCTCCTAAGCGCCCTGCTCTCATGTATTGCACCCTGCGCATCCTGCACAGTAAGATAGAAACTGTTAAAGATTGAGGATCTATGGTTTATGAAGCGATACTTGGAAGGTGCCTTTTCTTTCTGTTTATGACAAAAGAACTCCACAGCACAAGTATATATAGCAATCAAGTATAAGATACAATTATCATTCCTGTATAACTACAGGCATACATAAGTAGTGAACAACTATACATAATATATTCACAATATACTATATATACCTATCAAGATGGATGCATCCGGAACCAACTCGTCTTCCAATAAACTAATAACCGATGCAGCCATGCATCTTACACAACTTTGGCATGTGAAATACTCAACCAGCCAATGTTCGTTGATTTGACATTTGACTCTGCTTCACAGTCCCCGAAAACGAGTACTCGTATATTATTGAAATGACTCGCACGTAGATAATTGGTATATTTTCGGTATGTGCATAGACAATTATGAGTCAAACATGTAAATGATACTTAAAATCTTTGGGGTAAATCCGTTAACTTTCCAACAAGGTAGACTAAGGCAATAATATACAAAATGGCACTAACTGCCAATTGTTACAGATTCTGAATACCGATAACCTACCACCAAACACCATCTACAGAACAACATATTGGCTAATCTTTGTATGCAAGTCTATGGACTTGCTCTTTGGCTAATCTCTATTACAATATTTTTTGTAGTTACACCCCAGTCACATTTCCTGCGGCCGCCGTGCGGTCTATCATTTCTGCGGCCAGTTGCTTTTCTACGCTCGCCGCGGAATTTCTGCGCTCTTACACCCCAGTCACATTTCCTGCGGCCGCCGTGCGGTCTATCATTTCTGCGGCCAGTTGCTTTTCTACGCTCGCCGCAGAATTTCTACGCTCTCATACTTTTGCAGTCACATTTTCCACGACATAAATGGTGACGCAAGGTCACCGTACGGTCTCCCTGCGGAGAGCGTAGTTTTTTGCAGATACAAGGGCATATGCAATGTGTCTCTGCGGCAAACGTACGTTGACCGTTCTGCCTTTTGGCCTCTACAACAGCCGTACGCACTTTTAATAGAAACATTGATACTCATTTTGATTTCATTTACATCATATATTGTGAGTACAATTTATAAATGTTATTTATAGGTCTACATGTAGGATCTTATGTGAAATAAAAAGTGTTGAGTGAAATATGGACCAATAGTAATATAGTTAATCTTTTATATAGAGGTTGCTGTGGTATCAGTGACCTTAAATGTGGCCCCATATTATGACAACTGTAGTAAATGCCATTACTTTCACTCACAATGCCTCAAAAGAAGAGGCAACACGTATCAAAAGAAAGGAACAAGAAGAATGCCATCCTTGATGATTCGGGTGATGAAGACGATTTCTCTGTCACCCAGAAAATAGTAGAATTCTATGAGGGACATCCATATCTATTTGATCTCCGGCACGAGAACTATCGCAATAACAAACTAAAGGAGGCAAAGTTGGCCGAGTTGGCAACATATATTAAATGGAATGGTCAGTAGAATGAAAGCAGAATATCTACAGTAAAAAATTCAAAAAAAATGAACAAATCAAATTATCTTAAATTGGAATGCTCTTGGCTCAGACATCTTTCAGAATAAATGTAATGTGTGTATTGTATCCTTCATTACCACATTATTTCTATGTGAGTACGTTACAATTTTCAATATTTTTTAAAAGCATATTTACATCAACAGGTTGCGTTTTTTATACATAACATAACCTTGGCCTTTAAAATCATATTGAAATCATCAAAATCTGGAGTACATTATCTTTTCCCATTTTAAAAAGGGCTAGTAGAGCTACCCTTTCAGCATCTAGAGAGCTACAAAATATAGTAAAATGTTCTAATGTCTCAATCTCATGTCTTTTTATTTTTAAGTGGATAAGATTAAAAGGAGATTTAAGAACCTTCGAAGTGCCCATGGCAAGCTGAAAAACCGAGCCGGGTCTTCCGGGAAATCAGGTCAATCGTCTTGCAGATTAACTAGTCGACAGGAGTGGAAAATACGGAACTTGGCCTTTCTGGATAATGTCATTCAGCCTCGGTCCATGGGACAGGAGATGGGAAGGGTAAGCATCAGCATTGAATTGTTATATAGTTATATAGGAGGTGAGGTTTCCCCCCCCCCCTCCTGCAGATACTTACAACAATTAGTTTGAAAGTGTACCTTATAACGATGAATGTCTTTGTAAATATTATCAGATAATTTGTAAAATGTTCACTTTGTTTGTGTGAAATATGTAAGTCGGTCTACAGCGCATTTTAAGTATATTTAATTGAATTCTTAAGTCTTTAAATGAAAGAGTTTCAATTACGAGAATATCCACTTCGGTACTTTTTACTAGTCACTTTTTGTATTGTTCGTGTTTGCATTCATACTTCAGGCTGCTGGTGAGGAGTGTTACGAGGACGATGAGGATACTGATATTGAGTTACAAGATAACATATTGGCACCGGCTAATGATAACGACGAGAGAGGGGCTGAAGATTTAAGGGTAGGTACCAGCGTAGGGAACCAGAACGGCTTATCTAATCAGAACGTTTACAGGCCCGGAACAAGCAGCACCTCTCTCATTAGAAGAAAAAGAAAAGCCTCGAAAAATACACCCAATGTCGGAAACATCCTCACAGAGATGTTGCTTGAGAACCGGAGAAAAGATAGAGAAATAGAGAAAAATGTTAATGATGGCTTTTTCAATAAAAATCAAACAGTATACCGTAATGTCATATAACATGTACTTTATGTATTTTAACATTATCTTTCAAATAATTTTTCCGATTTTAGTTGAACGAATCAGCAAATACTACAGGTACACTGGACGAGAGAGAGGCATGGGGCAACTGGCTCCCTACGGTGGTGCGCAATTGCCCGAAGGAGAAATTCAAGCAGTTTCAAATGGACACATTGTCCCTCTCCCAACGCTATCGGCCTGAAGATGAGGCGCAACTTACAAGTAGTCAGGCTAGTCAAGGTGAATCCCATGCTCAACAAACAATCATGACGCCGGAGCCTGCGACCTCTCATTTCTCGACCCACGCCAACTTACAGAACCCTTCCGAGCGCTTCCAAAATACATCCAACTGTTTCCAAAGCCAGCCAGAGCCACTATTCCACTACGAACAGCAGCATATGCCAGTGTATAACAGGCAGCCACAATTTAGGCATTTAATAGTAAGTCTTTTTAATTAGGAGAATCAGAAATATATTTTAATTACGCATTGATTTAGAACGGAATATACTTTGTATTTTACCAAATCTTCTATTGTGTCTGTAGATAAGCAATAATATAGCTGCATTAATTGTGTTTATAGACCAAGCAACATCAACAATCCACTAGCCCCAACTCTGCTCAAACTCCCGTCGCCAAGGGCAACATCATCGCCTCTTCATTTCAATTACCGATCAATGATGTGCACAACCAGAATCTCAATCTTGTTTCTCACACACAGCCAGGGGAGCAAATGAGACTCCCTAGTAATGAAATCGGTGCACGTAGATTCGGAATCAATGTTACCAGAGAGGACCAGTCAATGCTCAACGCACCATTTGGAAATCGTTCGTCATCTTCAATCGACAAGGCAGACAAGTCTTTTTACGAGACAGAGTCTGATACCAGTTAATATCTATATGGGACACTGAGTGCCCTGAGTACATTGAATATCTGTGAGGTAATTACACCCCCTTCAGGTGTTTGACAACAGTAACTCCCATTTTGGGTAATCGAAGACGATTTTTGTGATTAAAAGTATGTCATTGAAATATCATTAATAATCGAAGTATTACGGAAAAAATCACTATTTAAGGAAAAAAAGCTTTGATATCGTATCCAATCAATATTGCTTGTTGCCAAACTTATGGACTGGAGTGTACATGCATTTGGATTTTTGTTTGTTTCGTGATTTATTGAAAGAATATTTGTTATATTACTTTGTATGCATAATGAATTATTGACAGAATTAAATGAACGTTTACATCAACCATGAAATAAACATATAATCCTTTCCAATACTAATCGCAATGTTTATTAAGATGCAAAGTATATATATTTGCCGTCATTTATATTCTTAACGTTTATTTAAAACTGTTCCCTGTTTCATGTATTCTTGGACAAAACAGAAACAAACCTATAAATATGCAACATCCCAATGCTTTATTTTACTTACAATTAGGATTACATTCTCAAATACTGGTTAACATGTCCTTATAAGCGTGCTACAAAGTTAATTTTTATTGTCCAGTGAGTCATACTATTTTACCGGTTGATGGCTGCCTCCTGCCATGGCACTCTGCCGGCATCAGATTGGAAATAGTGCTTCAGGTGTATCCTCAGCTCCTTGCCGGCACGAGTCTCCCGTGGGGCACGTTCTACGCCATGCATGTCGTCGAGGTAGCCAGCATGTCTCCATGGCCCAGGTATAATAACACCGTTTTCCTGCTCAGCGTCAAGGTCGCCATTCTGCAAGTTCAGAAAGCGGACACGCATCAGGTTGTGGAGAGTCACACACGCCTTGGTAATCTTGGTTGCAGTTTCGGATGTGGTCATCAGTGTTGTAAGAAGGCAACGGAAACGGTTTGCCAGAATCCCAAAGGCATTCTCGACTATTCTTCGAGCACGGGAACATCTGTAATAAATAAAATCAAACTAGCTAAAACAATTATCATGTGAAAATATGAAATGGAAACTACATTTTAACTAAATTTTTAATTGATCAATCTTTAATATGAGCAGTGAAAAAATGAAATGCCTTTCTTCAAGTGTCACTTTTTCAACACAATCAAATTTCAATTGTTTGATGCTTCATTAAAATCTCAGAAATACTAAAGGCAAGTCAGATTTATAGGGATATTCATTATATGTTATTAACTTGTGAAGTTATTTAAGATTCATGATCAAGTGCAAAGATACGGGAAAATAAATGAACTATCCCAAATAATAAAAATGGTAATGATGGCAATATTGTTAAAAATCTTTTTTCTTCAAATAAACGTTATATTTTGGATTTTTTTAGAAAATAAACATGACATGGAATGATATTAGGCCAAGCAATTCTAAAATTGAAACAATTTTATCAACATGAAGCGATATCGTAACCAAAGTACTTGCTAGATCTGATTCTGCTTAAAGTAATTGTTATTTGAAAATTACCTGTAGTTGAAAATACGCTCCTCATGCGTGAGGTTCCTGTGTGAGAATGGCTTCACCATGTATGTGCGTAAGGGGAATGCGTCATCTCCGATGAAGAAGTAGGGCACGTCGAGGTCGTCGTTTTGGAGTGGGTCAGAGGGAGGAAAGCCAAGTCTCCCTTCACGGAGGTCGGGTTCAAGAGACGATCGGTTGAAAATACCAGCATCAGAGGCAGATCCTTCCGCACCCACATTCACCCATAGAAAACGGTAGTCTGCGTCCACGAGTCCCAATAGTGCAATTGAGAAGAAGCCCTTATAATTATAGAACGTACTTCCTGAATTTGATGGCTTCTTTATCCTAATGTGTTTGCCGTCTATGGCACCGCATGCATGTGGAAAGTTCCATCTTCTGTCAAAACCTCGTGCTACCTCCTTCCATCCGCCTGGCGTAGTAGGGGTCGCAAGTACCTCATCCTGGTACTCTGCTGAGATTGCATCGCATACCTTGGGCACAAACAGGGATATCGTATTGTGTGCAACCCTAAAGCTGTAAGCAAGCGAGTGGTAGGAGTCACCAGTTGCCAGGAACCGGAGTGTAATAGCAAGCTTCAGCCCTGGCGCCAGGGGAGGTCTACCGCTTTCACATTTTGATATCCTTGGGCCAACACGCATTAGCATTTCATGAAACATGGCAAGCTCCATTCGTAGGAAATTTTTAAAGTCTCCCCTAGATTCTCGCATAAGCTCCTGCATCGAGTTGTCATATTGACCTAGTGGAACACGCCTCGTGAGCCAGGGCTTGACCCACATTATGCGTCGCCTTCTGTGCTGCTGGGCCTGCCTCTGCTCTTCCAAGATTAGCGCAGCTATAAGGTAATCCCGATCACGTTGCACTCGCCTCAGCTGCATTCTCAGATAACCCAACCTGAGTCTTTGAGGTACAACAAGCGCCATGTAACAGTATTGCCTTGTGTTCACAGCAAAGATATGATAGAAAACCTGACCTAAAAACGTGTTTCCTAAATTACATAATCAAAACCCTACGACAGACGCAAGTCAACCGCAAGCCCGACGACCTTTCTGCGGTCTGGCTACGGGCTGTTGATTTCTACGGCGACCTCAGAAATGAACAAAAATTATAACTCCGAGTTATAATTTCTACGCCTTCCTGCGGCCTGTAAAAATCTGCATTCGCCGCACGGAGGCCGCAAGGCGAGCGTAGTTTTTCTACGCTCGCCGCAGAAATTCACCGATTTAATTGTTCTGCGATCGACATGCGGCCGCCGTGCGACAAATGTGACTGGGGTGTAATACTTTTGCAGTCACATTTCCCACGGCAGCCGCACGGTGAATTTTAAATTTCTGTTGATAAATCATACTTTTTTCATTTTATTTACATCAGGACAATTTATAAATGTTATTCATAGTGCTAGGATGTAATAACAAATGAAAAGTGATCGTGAAACATTGACAAATAATGATTCAATCTTGTTGAGCCAGTTGATTTCTACGGGGACCTCAGAAATGAACAAATATTATAACTCCGAGTTATAATTTCTACGCCTTCCCTGCGGCCTGTAAAAATCTGCATTCGCCGTAAGGAGGCCGCAAGGCGAGCGTAGTTTTTCTACGCTCGCCGCAGAAATTCACCGATTTAATTGTTCTGCGGTCGACCTGCGGCCGCCGTGCGACAAATGTGACTGGGGTGTTAGTCGTAGGTTAACAACAATTTTCTGGAAACTGGATTTTTTACAAGTCGTGAAAAACCTACGAATCTACGACATCGTAAGTCTACAACATTTCTGGAAACGACCCCCTGGGTAGTTAAAATTTAGCTTATATTTGTGAATGCAACTTTCGGCTGTCGACTAGCGAATTAATCTTCTATTTTATCACCATTCCATTCATATTTGAATGAGTTGGCCATAAAACAGTAGCCTTTCTTAATTCGGTAGCCGTTAGTTGCATGGCGAATACAAGCTTGTTCTGTTTTGAAATGGCTTAACTTGGCTTGCAAATAGCGGCTACTGCTAGTTGCATTCGTGAATACAAGCTTAGTTTGTATTCGCGAATGCAACTTGCGGCTACCGGCTAGCAGGTTGATTGCAATTTGATGGCAAACTCTGCCGTCCATCCTAAAATATATCACGCCAAACCCAAACCGCTGACTTAAAATTTTATTTTATTTATTATAATCGATTCTTTCATTGTAAAAAAGTCATATGATCACTGATCACTGTTCGTCGACTGACGGGTTGTTCCATCCTTGGTCCAAGGGTATTTCACTTCTTTCCATACTGAATTGAGTAATAAATGAAGTCCTTGGCAATTGAATGAAGGATGGGGTTGTTCGTAATTACAACTTCAAAATGACGGATTAATCTATGAAAATTAATAGGTTAATCCGATAGCCGCTAGCCGCTATTTGCATTCACGAATACAAACTTAAATAACGGGTCAATCTGCCTATTGATTTAGCTGCAAGTAGAGATGACCTACGATCTGTTCGCTTATTAAACCGGGCGACTTTATTGTAATTGATCATACCCTGCGCGCAGAGTCTAGTTAAACTACGAAGCTCTCTTTTAAGAAGTGAAGTCGATCAAACGAATGCAAAGGGTAAATTGATCAATACAGTGACATCAGAAATCATGATCACTGATCACTGTTCGTCGACTAACAGGTTTTTAGTCAAATCTTTAAAACGACAAGTTGGTTTGAGATGAAAATTAATATAAGGTTAATCCGGTAGCCGACATCCAAAAGTTGCATTCGCTAAGTCTCGAGTTTGTTTCAATCATATTTATTTTCTGTTTACCCCATAAAAGTGGGGAGTATCTGCTTTGAAAGGAGTGGTATCGATATGAGAACTTTTTGAACACACGTTTCTCTTAAACCAGTCATAAAAAATCTAAAAATTTAACACATCGTCAATTTAATGGTCATCTTTTGAATGGTAACAATATAATTTGAAAAATATCTATATACTTTCATCTATATTGTTTTGGAAAACACATCTAACACTTGTTTCGTTCTTGGTATGATGTTTCCAGAGTGAAATGAAACATCTTTCCGAACCTCATTGGAACAAAACGACATAAACGAAACATGTATGGGTCTCTCAATATTGTAATTGTTCAAATGAAATTTCGGTTGACTTTAAAAAAGTATCTTGTTAATGAAATAAAAGGTTTATCTTGATTTTTATCTATTTTGGGGATTTTGTTTTAATTTTTGAATTATTTTTTAAAATCAACCAAAAAGTCCTTTGAATAACTATAATATTGAGAGGTCTAAAACATGTTGTACGGATATGCTATTTTGTTCCAACAAGGTTCGGAAAGAAATTTTATTTCATTCTCAAGAATTAGTAGAAAGGAGCAAAAACAATTGCACTAAAAAAACAAAAAATGTTAACAAAATCAGTTATGAGATATTTCTAAATAATTTTCGCATTAAATTGTTGTCAATCAGTCAACATTATATGAAATACCGTGTTTTTTACAGATTGTTTTCAATGATTGGTTTAGGAGAAAAACATTGTTGAATTCAGTTACCCATATCGATACCAATCCTTTACTCATCCGTTTACTCATTACGGTAACTAAGGGCATGTGAGCACCAAAAAATGAAAGGATATATAGAGATATGCGTAGCAAAATTTATAGCAACACATTTTCTCAATCAATAAGAAAGGAGCATGTAAGATATGGCAAGCCATTTTCAAAGGGCTATATCTTTAGTTCGAAGAATAATTTAACCACAAAATCA